TAAAGTTCTCTCCAAAATTCATATCTTCCAAAACCTTGAACAAGAAAGCCCAGTTCAAATTATCAAAGGCCTTCTCTGCAACTAAGAAAATCAGTGAGGCTTGTTTTTCATTGTGTTGCTCCAAATATTCCAAAATGTCCAACACATTTCTAACATTGTCCTTTAATGGTCTTCTAGGTAAAAACCCACACTGATCCTCATGAATAAATTCTTGCAAAGTTATTTTCAGTTTATCAGCTAGAATTGTAAACAACTTGTAGTCATTATTCAATAATGATATTGGCCTATCGTTTCTTGTTAAAATCAAATCTTGTCCCTCTTTAGGTATTAATGCTATATTGGCATCTTTCTTCCCTGTAGGATAGAGTTCATCATGTTTTGTAAAGGTTGTAAAAGTTCATCCTCAAAGCATTTATAATAAGAACCTGATAATCCATCTGGTCCAGGTACCTTTCCTAGGTTATAGGTCCATTCATAATCTGTCTCTGTTCCTCTGTAATTCTAGATAAATTTTGTTTCTTTAGATATTCATCTGTTTTCTCCAGAGAGAGGTCACTTCCTTTATACAAATTAGAATAATATTGATGAAATGCTCTTTGTATGGCCACATTGTCCATTAATACAGTATCTCCCTCTTGTAATTTCAATATGATTTTCTTTTCATAGTTTTATGCTAGCCACTTCCCTGGTTTATTTGCAAACTCAAAATTTTTTTGCTTTACATAATTCATTTTTATTTGCATTTCTCTTACTGTTAACATAGATAATTGTTGTTGCAAAAGCTTAATTTGTTGAGAAATACTTATCTTCTCTGGAAATTGCTTTAATTCTTCTTCCTTTCTCCTATTTCATCCAAAATAGCTTGTGTTTTCTCTTGACTCTTCTTTTTAAGTTCACTATTATGTTGTATAAAATTATTTCATCCAAAATAGCTTGTGTTTTCTCTTGACTCTTCTTTTTAAGTTCACTATTATGTTGTATAAAATTATTTCATCCAAAATAGCTTGTGTTTTCTCTTGACTCTTCTTTTTAAGTTCACTATTATGTTGTATAAAATAACTGCTAATAAAAGCTTTACTTGCATCCCAAACCATTCCTAAATCAGTGCCTTTACCTAAATTATTTTTAAAAAATTCTTTTATTTTTACAATCCTCCACTGTTGCTTCTTTCTGTAGCAACATTTCGTTTAGTCTCCATCTACAAGAATTAGAATCTTTTATAAACCAAACTCACAGGATTATGATCTGAAAAAGTCTTTGGTAATATCTCTACTTTAGAAACCTTAGTAGCCAAGTTCTTTGAAATTCAAATCATGTCTGTTCTTAAAAAGAACCTTTGGAAAAAGTCTTTGGTAATATCTCTACTTTAGAAACCTTAGTAGCCAAGTTCTTTGAAATTCAAATCATGTCTGTTCTTAAAAAGAACCTTTGTCTTTCAGAAAAGTAGGTATATTTTCTTGAATTGCCATTTTTCAGTCTCCATATATCAACCACCCCTAAATTATCCATCAAATCAAAGAAAACTTTTGGTAATTTGCCTTGAATGGTTTTAATGTTTTTCTCAGAAGTTCTGTCCAGTTGTGGGGAAGTCACTCCATTCCAATCCCCCATCAAACACTAATTTTCATAAGAGAAACCTATTAATCTCTCCATAAAATGTTTATAAAACAATACTTTGTCC